CATCAATAAATAATTAATATTTTAAGAATTTGAATAACAATATTATTTAAATAAGTAAATAATATTGTTAATAACTAATTTCACTTATATCAATTAATAATTACATAAAATAACTTTCAAAAAAAATAATATTTATTAGTAATAATTTTACAATAATAGTGTATATTCATTATATATTTATTTTACTATAATTAATATTGATTTTATTTTTAGTAATTATATATTTTTTATAATTTATAGAATAAGACTTATTAGAGATTAAACTATTTAAGATTACACTATTTATTGACTAATTTAGTATATTTTCAGTATTTATTATATTTTTGTAATTATTGTATTTTTACCTTGCATTCTCTTTGAACTTCTCTCCTCTCCCCTTCCCACCACTCCCATTAAGCCATGTCACCTAACTATCTAAGAATATTCTTATAATCTCTCTCCTAAGGTATCTCATTCAAACCAACAGGAAAGTATCATGTTACCCCACTCCTTAATTAATTCCTAAAATGCATCCCCCAATCTATATCCATTCTCCCTCATTTAAAATATTCATATTAATTAATAAATAGTTAAAAATGGTTAATAGTTAATTCCACCCATATTCAATGAATATTGAATAGTGTTATCACCAAAAATTAGTAAATATAGTTAGTAAATTACCAAATATTAAATATTCGTATTAGTATGGTTAGTAAATTACCAAAAATTAATAAATATTGTTATTAAATAACTCATTAGCAACATTTAATAGAAATTGAAAACTCTTTGACTAATTTCTATAAAATTGAGAATTATATTTAACAATTATCAAAAAGTATAGAATTTTAGTTATTGTTATTATTATAATTAATAACCAAATACAAATGGGAGAACAAAATATTATAATGTTAGAAAATGAAATTATTAATTAATTTATATTAAAAAATAAAAGATAAATTAGTCAATTTTGTTAGTAAACTACCGAATAAAAATATATATATTCAATAACAATTTAAAAATTTTTCAATAAATCCCCATAGTTACACAAATGTAATAAATTTTTCAAAAAAAATCATAAAACTACATTTTCGTAAAATAACATTTTTGAAATGAAAAGATAAAAAGTATTTGAAAGTTTATTTAAAATGCATTAAATAATTATTGAAAATTATTAGAATATTTTGGAAATTTTATTACATTTGATAGATTATGGAAAACCATTGAAAAATTATGTAATTTTCATTGCAAATTATTAAAAATTGTTAAAGATGAATGACTATGGGAAATGGAAAACTATAATTTGAACAAATAATTATACAAATTATTAAGATAAATTAGTATAATGTTGGAAAAAGGAAATTATTAGTTAGTTTATATTAGAAATTATAAGATAAMTTAGGATAATTCTATAAGTAAACCATTTAAAAGAAAATAAATTATTCAATAAAAAATTAAATAATTTGAATAAATTTTCAAAATAACACAAGTACAATACATTTTCCAAAACTTTCATAAAATTACATTTTTGAATATTAAAGACAATTTAATGTACTTTTAAAAATTTACCATGTGGTTGATACTCAATATATCCTTTTGACCATTTCTATCATCAAATTGAATATTAGGTTGACAGGGATAGTGTTTTCAAAAATGGATCAAACAAGATGGTTAGATCGAAAAAATTGGGAACCGGCACCGTTTCACCTCAAAACCGCTTTTTGTCCAAAAAATGTTTATTTGGTAAGCGAATTGTTGACCTAGGCAGTCGAACCATCAACCCAGACAACAATTTTTTGCCTTTTTTTTGTTTTTCTAACTTTTTTTTATTTTTTTGTTAGAGTGGGTCATCCATTAAGACCGAACAGTCAGACCGTTCGACCCCAAAACGGTTCCCTATCCCGTCCAATTTTAAAAACCTTGGATGGGGAGTGGGTGCCTTGCCTTGAGCTTGGATTGGTGTGCAGCATGGCCTGGCCCAAGGCCCGACCTATGGACCTGCCTGACCCACAGCATAGCACGGGTCCGTGCCGAACCAGTCCCCCAAATGCGGGTCACATGCGACCCCCCATGGCACGACATGGCACACGCCTCGGGGGCTAGCACAACACAACTCACACTTTGTGCGGGCCGCATGCAGGTCATGTTGTGTTGACCTAGCATGACCCAATTTACACCTTTACTTGAACCCACCCAATACTGGGGACAACGCAGGGAAATTCAAGATTCGCCATCATTGATGAGGAGTGGGGTGCCTTGCTCCTGAACTCGCTCGACATTGAAGAGTGGTTACCTTGCCCTGAACCCATGTGACACTGGGGACGGGTAAGGGTGTCAATGGACCGGTTTTGGATTGGACCCCGTTTAGTCCAAAATCAATTTGAATGGATTGGATGGACCAACAAGACATATTGGATTGGACCAATCCGGTCCAAAATATTTATTAGATTGGAGTGGACCTGGTCCATCCGTAACAAATTTATATTAGATTGGGTTGGATTAAGCCAATATCTTGTCCATTGATATAAGATAAGAATATATGTGTCAATGGACAAGGTTTGGGTTGAAACCAATCTAAATCAAAATGAATTAGAACAGATTGGATGGTCTAGACATTGAATTGGACTTGGTCCATTTATAATGGACTCGCATTGGACTGGATCGAATTGGACCAAATCCAGTCTAATTAACACCCCTAGGGACAGGGCAGGATGGGGTAGAGTGTCTTGACTATGGGGCAAGGAAAGGGATGGGGTGCCTTGCCTTGAACCCACCCCGTTGTCATTCCTATATAATTGTTAATTATTAGTGGAATTAATAAAAATGTTAGCTTATATAATTATTTTTATTTATTTAAAGTTGATCAAAAGTTATTTAAAAATAAAAAAAGAATAAAAATGGTTAAACTTACTACAAATTATTAATAAAACTAAATTTATTAAAAAATATTTGTTCATATTCATTTAACAATAATTATTTTTTTATAAATCAACATTAAATAAAAAATAAAATTATTAAATCTTTCATATGGATGCACGGGTCCTTGCTAGTATATATTAATACGAAAGGGGTGGTCTCCCCTTTTGCCACGTGTTACCTTGTGTATAGTTGATTATTCGTGTTACCTTGTGTATAGTTGATCAACAAATTGATCAAAAAATGATTATTAAAATCAACCTTAAATATAACGTTTTAGGTAAATTATGATTATTTATCAAAAAATTAAGAAACCGTTTTGGCCACCAATTTTTGGGTCGACGGTTCGACCATCCGGTTGGAACGGATGGCCCATTCTGATAACAAAAATTACAAGCAAAATATTGGGTGTGTGAGGTTCATTAAACAGTATCATATGTGTTATGTCATTCAAACATGTGACTCATACGACTCGAAAACGGAATCAACTATGGTCACCGGTTTTTGGGTTGACAGTTCGACCATCCGGTTTGAATGGACGACACGTTCAAACAACAAAAATTACAAAAAGAAAAAAAAAACAGCCAAAAAACATTGAACAGGTCAATGGGTCAACAATTCAACTGCTTAGGTCAATGGGTTGTTGACCGATTCAACGGTTTTTGGCGAGGGACCGGGATTGGGGTAAAACATAACTGGTTGCCTAGACGGTTCCCAATTAAAAAAAAAAAATAGCAGTTCGATCGTCCAGTTCGAACGGATGACCCGTTCTGACAACAATAATTACTAGCAAAAAATTGAGTGTGTGTGAAGTCCATTAAGCAGTATAATACATGTTATGTCATTCGAGCGTGACTTATACAACCTGAAAATAGAACCGTTTTGGCCACCGATTTTCGAGTCAACGGTTCAACCGTCTAGTTCAAATAGATAGCCCGTTTTGACAACAGAAATTAAAAAATATAAAAAAAGACCAAAAACCATTGAACAAGTCAACAAGTCAACGGTTCGACCGCCTAACTAGTCATTAACTGATTTAATGGTTTTTGGCCAAGGACCAGGATTGGGATAAAACGAAACTGGTTGCCTAGATGGTTCCCAATTAAAGAAATAAAAAAATRGTCAAAAACCATTGAACGAATCAACAGGTCGACGGTTCAACCACCCAGATCAATGGGTCGTTGACTGATTCAACGATTTTTGGCCTAAGACCAAGGTTGGGGTAAAACGAACCGATTGCCTACACCCAGGCCGAAATATCCAGCCCCTGGGAAGCATGGCCCCTCCGCTTGTTTAAGTTGTAAAGCAATTGAAATGTCGGAAACATGTTAAAATTGGCAGTGACAGACATTTCTTTCCACACAGAATATTGTATGTCTGGGTCAAAGTACATTGATATTGGTTAAAACAAGTTGCCAAGGCCTACAGCTACGATACAATGGGCATCTACCAAAACCTAAGTCATCGTCATAATTCAATAAATACAGATACAGGCTGCCAATCTACAGGGGTTAGTAAAATATTCACGGACTGAGCCACCAACTCTTCTGCTATGCTTTATTCAACAGGAGAGTTGAAATTTCAGGATACCATAGAGAGCATGGCTTCACCTGCTTCCAAAACAGAGTTACAAGGAATAACCAATTTTGTGTTATCCTGCAGATAAGTCAACTGGTTCAATTAATCGAGATCTACGTCTTCTCTTGCCTTCATGGGTGCATCTAATTCCACCAACCTTTCCAAGTCCTACAGAGCTCCTGTTTGAGTGTTCTCCAACAGGTTTCTTCCCATCACCTTTGGTGCACCTTTTACTTGGAGGAGATTTCACTCTCTTCTTCAATGATCGGAGCTGCACCTCCTCCTGTCTCTTCTCGTGACTAAGGAGCCTCACAGAAAAGGGATTTACAGCTGAGTAGCATATAGACTCATTGTTTGGGTTACCTCTATCAAGATCAACATTCCCATTGTTCACCTGAAAAATAATAATAATGTAAAATTTAAATGGATAGAAGCATTGATAAAATAAAGTTAAAATCATTTCAGCAAATCTAAATTGTCAACATTAGGTCTCTAAACAGTGTGATTATTACACAAGAAAGGCATGGATGGGTCACAAAGGCACATAATCCTCCAATATCAACCCGAGTGACCTAAATGAAAGACCATCCATTCTAGACATTTCTGACTGTTCAGAAAAAAGAATCAAGGGAAATTATTATCATCACCTGAATTGGCTTGATAGAGATGTCTAGTTGAAAAGTGCCGAAATGTACAGTCTCAGTCCCCAAAATTGTATGACAAGCCTTGTAATTCAAAGTAAAGGATGTATTTTCAACCATTAACAAATAACAAAGAGAATCACCACTCACCAGTTGTAGAAGAGCAGAGAAAGTCCTAGCAACATCATGCTTTTCTTGGCCACCAACAATATCTGCAAAGGACATGGAACCTCGACAATCTGCTTCCATGGATAGTTTCTCCAGAACTCTCCCACCATATTCATGAATATCAAATGAAGGGCGGGCATCCTGTTTAAATAAGTTCCAACCAATTGAGACTAAGAGAAATAAGAAACTGAGATAAAATGATCATTGGATAATAATTGCAAGAAAGCAAGGAAACTGCTAGAAATTACTTGCTCCTCCAATGTGTGTTCAATTCGCTGTTTCCATGTGGAAACCCTAGTAGCCAATTCAGTCTGCTTCTCAGTTTCAGCTATGCTAACAAGGAGAGCATCCTGTTAAAATAAAGGGAAAATAAGGAAAGATTGGTTATATACCAAGCACAACTCTAATGAAGAAAAAAATAAGGACAAAGACCAGAAAAATACTGGTGGTATTGCACAAGATACTTGGAACCAAGGTTTAAAGTTTCGACATGATACGCCCCATATCTAGCATATCGTATCATATCGGTGAGTGTGGGTCATGGATACAAAGAAATACATGGTATTTGGCCTTTTGACCCATTTCAGGGGGTAGGCAGGCCTAAGACCTACCCCTGACCTATTAAAGAAAACGATGAATGTTAGGTGCAAAGTACCAATACACCCCTTCCAGCATATCAGGGTGTATTGATACTTAGAACCCTGCTTGGAACTTGGATCCTTCTCAACAATGAGTAACAAATTCCCCAACAATGACAAATCTAGATATAATATGTTCACCCATTGAAGCTAATTAACATCAGTGGTGGTTCACCAATGTAGCATTTCAAAAGGGCCATACCCAATGGTGGTCACAATTGTTGCGGGTCTTGACCTTGGTGACATTTCAAAAAAAAATATAAGAAAAAAAAATCAGGTCTTGGCCTAAAAGTTCCCTTGGATTAGCACTGAACCAATTAGGCATTTTCTAAGCTGAGCTCAGGTCAAGTAAAGTGTTACTTGAAAATATATATGCCACATTATGATCTAGAAGTAATTCAAACCAACACATAACCAAGCACTCCCATCACCAGTCCGGCCCAACCTAAATCACTATTACTAAAAAATCAGCAAAGTACAAGTCATAGTAAATGGGTAGATGACGTATCGAGTTAACTCTACACTATGCCCAAACCATTAGCTAGGCTATGACTAGCCAATCAATCTTGGCCAAGCTTCCCATGGTTATGAGAATCCTGAAATTCACAAATAGTGTGGGAACATGAGCATTGTGGCTGAATTTGATTGGGTCTTGTAGCCTAGGCTACATAATTTCTGTAGTGGAACTAAACTCCATCAGCTAAGTATAACCCATAATTAAATTGTCATTTTAGAATAAAATGAAAAGCAAGAGATGAATTGCCTGTTAAAACAAAATTGATGCAGTTTAAGAAATTGCTGTTATATGATTTATCAGTAACTAAAAAAAAAAAGAAATTACTACTACAATGATGCAGATGCAGAATGTATTTAGAGAAAGTGTATCTCTACCAGGTGTAAACGACAAAGATCTTCTAGATTTGCGTGAGAATTTGGATCTTCGTGCTCAAAAGCTTCATTGTTATCAAAACGAACATCATCCCCATGCTGCAAACAGTTCAGATAAGCAAGTAATGCAACTGAAAATGTAAATGCAATTTTTATTGGTGTGCAACAAATGCTAACCATGTCACAGAATGGAGGTTCTGAATCCATGCAAGTACTCTCTGGTATGTCAACATCAGCTTGATCAAAATCAGGGTTGCAATCATGGTCAATATCCTCGTTTTCATCTTCAGCATTACTAAAACCATTGCAGCTTTCATGACCTCCAAGAACAAGTGATTGTCGTAGCTGGAACCCAAACATATGTAATTTAACAACCTTAAGTTGGATAGAACATATAAGTAAGGCAATAAAATCATTGCAAATTGACCTTTTCATAAGGTGGAGGTGACTGAGACTTCCACAGCTTTTCACAGACATGGAGTTTTGCCTCCCACATCTCCAAAAATTCTGGACTTATGGTCCCACGGAGTCTTGCTAAAGGAAATTGTGTAGCCAGAGGCATTTTCTGAGTAGAACTTATGTCCTGCCTTTTCAGAACTTTTACTGCTTGAAAGAAAGCAAATGAGAATCAAGGTAATAAAATCAGTGCATAAAATGGAAATTAGAAAACAATAACCAAGCAAAACAAAAGCTTTATACTAACATTTTCTAAAAGGTTTTACTTTCAAATTCCCAGGCTCATGGGGATTCAAAGGCTTCCATGGATCATCATCATCATCATCATCCAAGCCATCAGAATCATTCTGAGGCTCTGAAAATCCAGCATCCATTTCATCTCCATGGTAGTCATTCTCAGGAACATTACAGGTAGGAGGATCTGGCCAGATATAATTATCATTGGTTTCAAAGTTACAATTAGCCAAAGGAGTTCGATTAACATTAACATCCTGACTCTGTCCAAAGGGTGATTTATGCGCAGTTCCTCCAGACCTTCTTGTTGGGGATTGGAAACTTTTGCGAGTCTTAGACCTCAAAGAGCTGCCCTTTTGAGCAACATTGTTTTCTATATTAGCCTTATCTCCCTTTAAAAAATCATTTATTGATGCAGCATCACATGGATCTAACAGAAGAAAATCCTGGTATAGATCAGTGGTGGCCAGCTGCAACATTAATATGATCCAGTCAACAAGCTGAATGATAAAGGGAAACAATGCAGAAATAAGCTGACAAATATTATGTATTGCAGTACCAGATATGATTCTAATTCCCCAGAATCACCACTTGTATCTAAACAATCCCCTTCCAGAACAACCAAATTTGCAGGGGGCTTTGCGTAGTTATCCAAAATATTATCTTTACTGAGTCCACCATCGAGGCAATTCTTAGATTCCACTGCCAACATTAACATATATCAGCAAACAACTTTTAACACTGTGATGACATAGATAGTTCCAAATGAACTTACCAGGAACATCATCTAAACCGAGAAATAATTCATTCTCCTCATCAGCAACTTCATGGTGATTGCTTCCTTCAGCCTGAACCGAAGTCTCTTCTGGATTATTCTGTTGTCTGTCCAGCATAATAAAGAATCAGATTTTAGGGGATAAAGTCCTATAGTTAAGAGACAGAGGAAATCAGACAGTATTCAACCAAGATTTGCACAAATAAAAGTATTATTTCTGAGTTCTAGCAAATATGACATAAGCACATAAATAAATATTAATGATGAAGATCCCTTATGAAGATAGTTCAATGATAGGAAATTTTATAGATGATAATTTGTTAATTAAAACAAAAGGTGCAAAGTTTAAAACAAAATGGCCAACACCCTTAGAAAATATCGCACAGTAAGTCCCAGTACAATCCCACTTCCAGCCAGTGAGACAGTTTAGATCATTAGTTGACCTCATAAATGAAAGGAATAGGATGTTCCCACCATCAATTTGTATGGAGCATAGCATTGCATAATTATTATTATTTTTTTGATGAATAAAACATTGCATAATTATAAGAAACAAAAAAAGATGCAGGCATGTAGCTAACTTGAGATCAATGATAGAAAGACCAGAAAGGATAGTTATTTATCTGAGAATTGTAAGACAGTTTTCAAGGTGTCTAGGTGATTTTGGGCGACACCAGGGCACATACTCGCCTAGGAAATAAGAATTTTATAATATAAAGAACTAACTTTTGTCTAGTTCCCAAGTTTTATATGCCATTCAGCAAGTATATTAATTGAAAAAAATAACAATTCTCTTTATTAAGAGCATTACATTTCCTATAAAAATGTGGCAAATCAACATATCAAAAAAGACAAAAATCTTTTACATATATTAATTTCATTATTTTCAAAAATAATACTACTATAATAAGTATTTGATAGAGAAATTTCATATCAATTAGTAGCTAAAGAAGGCTATTAACTTTATACAATAAATATTCAAGATGGAAAGTAAAATTGAAAAAATCAAGGATGGAGCTTCTGTTTTATTTAATTGGAGAGAGAGAGAGAATAGGAAAAAAACACTATACTTCTATTCTTTTTTCTTCTTTCTTCCTTTTTCTCTCCTCAAAACCCTTCAATCTTTTAAATTTCAATAGTAAAACATTAAAACAAAGTATAAATGATATACATAGTATATAATAAAATGTATTAACACAAATTAATAAGATAAAGCAATATAAATGATATTATATAAGGTGCCCGTCTTGTAATTTTTGTCACCTAGGTGATGCCTTGACAACTAAAAGATATCTATATAAAGAAATCAGAAGTAGGAGAGATGAGAATTGCCAGATAAGGTTATAGTCATAAAATGCAACACACAACCGTTAGAAGCAAGATGGCAAAGGGAATTAGGTTATCAGGTCCCAAATTGATGCAAAAATAAGCAGAACCCTCTCTAAATTGATATGGATGCCATGGAGATAAAATGAAAATAACAATTAAATAGGATAATTTGAGAGGTGATCAAATAAGTTCAATTGCTTCTGGTTTTCTGTTGGCAATTAGGGTTTCTGAATGGTTACTGACAACCCTAATTTAAAAAGAAAGAAATTGCATGTCTAAAAAATTAAACAGAATAAGAAGAATTCTGTTGTGTACATCATTGCAATGAAAAATCAGTCCTGTGGAGATCAATCCCATTTCCAATTCCAAACAGCACCAATCAACAAACTTCCAGAAATAAATAACCCCAAGAATCCTGGCAATCACCTTTAGGGTCTAGGAATCATTCCCAAATATTGTTGCATGAGACAACTCAAGCTCGCAGACCGCAGCAGTAAAAAAAAAAATACAATTTCATCCATTCATCTCCAAAACATGACATTAACAACTATTTATATCACCATCTTCGTCGTCGTCATCCAAGCCTTATCCCAACTATATGGGGCTGGTACATGAATCCTGTTTCACCATTCTGTTTTGTTTAATGTCATATCCACAATCCATTGTTAAATTATTATCACTTAAATCATTTCTTACTACTTCAACCCATGTCCTTCTTGGTCTACCACTACCTCTTCTAGCCCCTTCAATTTGCAACAGTCACTTCTTCTTATGGATGCTGTCAAAGGTCTTCTATGCACACGACCAACCATTTTAGTCTTCTTTCTCACATTTTATCACCTATTGGAGCTACTCCTAGGTTCCTTGGAGTGACATCATTTCTGACCCTATCCAGTTTTTCCACTCATTCATCTAAGCATATGCATTTCTGCCACACTCATTTTTTGGACATGTTTCTTGACTGCCCAACACTCTTCTTCATGTGCATACTGCCTAGCTGGCCATAAATAATTTTTTAACTTGGGAGACTTGAAATCAACAATAAAGAACGCCTAAAGGGCACCTAAAGAACACGACTATAGTTGGACTGATACAACACAAAGTTTTTTGATGAATTGATACAACACAAAGTTAAGTGACAAATATCTTTGCTTCCTAAAATAAAAGAAAAAAAAACAAAAGAAACACATTCAACTATTAATTGACTTTAAACACTCTAAAGGGCTTTTTCCATGTAACCCAGTTTATTTTGTTTAGTTACATGAAGTGTTTAGTTTGTTATCAGGAGTAGTTCTTCTTAACCACTCCAATTAAGCCCTTGAACTGGTGTTGACTGTTGATTTCAATGCTAGGAGACCCACAAAGGTAGTAGAGGAAAAAATCAATCCCATCCCACTATTCTCTTCCTAAATCTTCTATTAGAAAAACCTAAATCCCATTATAAATCCAAACCCTTTAGATAACAATTTCAGCCACACAATGATGATAAACAGCCTTGGGATAATAAAATTACAGACAAATTATAGAGAAAATAAAAGAATGGAATTAAAAAAAAAAAAGAAAGAATAAGGAAATTAGAGGAGCCACACCTCTGATCTAGAATCATGTATGAAGTCACAATTCACAATGAGCTTGATACAAAAGCTCAATGGAATCACAGCAAAGAAGAAAGTTTATTGAACAAAACACCAAATAATGAGGTGAAACTTCAATCAATTCTCAATTAAACTCTTCCATAGATTATATATGGAAACATTTCTTAACAACCAAAAAATAAAGTTAGAAACCATGACTTGGACTTGCTAATTCCTAAAGTTTTCCTAAAATCCTCTAAAAGTAAACTTTTTAACCCATTAGTCCGGTAAAAGTAGAACCAAATCTTCAAAAAGAAAACACCTTCCAAAGCCAATACCTGCTCAAATTATATCTTAAAACAATAGAGCTCTCGTTCAAAAAGTATTTAAAAACTTAAGAATAGAAAATCTTGCAATTGCCCTCGAATGGTATATAATTTGCTCAACTGATTCTCTGGAACAACCTGGACTAACATCCTGATCAAGCAAATTAGGCATGTTTTGACCTCTCAGATTTAAGCTGAAGGAAGAGGGACAAACCTAGGACTGTCTCTCTTCATCTTCAGGTTAAGGCTCAAATAACTAATGCTTAGCTTTAGATAGTAACTCCTATCCACATTGAAAGGTCTTTGTTCTCCTTTAGTGCCACAACCCTAACTAGTATGATGCAACCCAACAAAACTCAGAACTCTCAATTTACCACAGTTAGAAGCTTTTCTTCATTGACAACAAAAAAAGAATTCTAAATATATCAAAGCAACCCCCCCCCCCCGGGTGCCATACCTCCGGATAAAATACCAAGGTTTATTCTAGTTAATGCAAGTTATTTGATGTTTCAAATCATTCCAGGATGCTCATTAAGACCATTTTTTATCAGCATGCTCATTAAGACCATTTTTTATCTGCATTTGTCAATTATAGAGATATTTTCATGTTAATTTATGCCAGGTTTCATTTTCTGCCTTTTATTCCTGGGTAAACGATTATCTAAATTTATGAACACCCTCATGGTAAAAGTTTCTTGTAAACTCGAGCAATCTGTGTTTAGCAAATCTGCAAGATAACTAAAAGCTCAAATGACTATATGGACTACTTGGCCATCTGTGCAAGATAATTGGCAAAGCAGTTTAAATTGTATGTTATGTCTCTTTAGAGACATTCGACAGTTCAAATTATGGGCTTCTAGGTCTAAAATCCCTTTTGTTCTTGTGTAAAATCATACTTTAATTAAGGGTCTCCAACCAGTATACCTCGAGTTGAGAAAACAATTAAGAAAAAAAAAAAAAATGAATAATAGTGGAACTCGAACCTCTTCTGAGAAATGAACTCCAAGGCATGCAGAACTAAAGAATAAAGATATTCCACCTTCCGGCTGTACACCTGAATGGACCCTTGAAGCAACAGAGCAGCTGCGTGTTGAAGAAAAATAAACAAACAACAGCTCCATCAGAAAACAAAAAACAAAATTATTAACAGCATTTAAAAATAAAAAGAAATTAGCGCGGGAACGAACCTTCAGCAAAATTCACGGAAAGATGGCTATCATCTTCCCCGGCGACCTCACCGGCGCAAATCTTCAAGAGATATTCCTCGAGGTTTTTGGCGAGGTCGACAGCCCAATTGGATTCAAGGTCCCGAAGCGGCTGCAAAATGTGAAATCTGCCACCACTGCTTTCACCGGCATGTTCTTCTCTATCGACATTCATCTTATACAAACCAGGAGAAAAGCTCCATTCCTGCTATCTCGCCCACATCTGAAACCCTAGACCCTAACTATGTACCACAAGCTGTGAAAATTAATCACGGAAAGGAAAATTTAGGACTCCAGAAAAAAACCCCAGATTTTGCAGAGAAGCGGTTCAGGAGAGAGGAAAAGGCTCGCGCTTCGAGCTTCTGCCGTCGTCTAGAACACGATTTTGAGAAACGCAGTACAGACCAGAGGCAGAGAATTCAAAAAAAGTTTCTGTGACCGTTTTCGCGCTCATCAGTCTCCTCCCAACATTGAGATTGTACGCCGCGAGCGTATTGAGCACACTGCATCCGGAGAGACCCATTAATGTTTAAGGTCGGGTTCGGTGCGGGTTAGCGTCAACCATGGGCTTAGGGCTGCAAATGAAGCAGATATCATTCCGATTTCCGATTCATTTGAGCCGAATTCGAATATTCAGTCAATTTCATATATCAAATCGAATCATAAAATATAATCCATTAATGATTGGATCGAATTCGGATTTGTGACGATTCGATCCGATTATACAATAATGTCTATCGACTGTCGGTATGTGTAAATGCATGCTAAGGACCATAACTACATATATGTGCATAGAATAAAATGTCAACACCATGACAATTGGGTGTGATTTTACAACTTGTTGAAACCTAAAATGTGTAATAACTCAGATATGCTGCTTGCCACACTTTGTGTAAAAGCCTATACAATCAATGAGAATATCTCAGTGTATATATGTTTTTATTTATGGAGAGATATTTCTAATACACAGCTAGGAAAGGTTATGAGGGATAATATATCTCCGTCTTATATTGGGAACATCTCTCGATGAAGACATCATCAGAACTGGTACTATTGGATGATGTACTTACACTGTACATATTTGTATTTGTACTCTTTCCAAACTGACATGTAATAAGAATCTAATATATCATCTCTCTCTTGAAATTCATCTTGTTTGGCTTGGCCAAAAATTAAGAGATCATCAACAAACATTAAGTGAGATGACAAATAGAAATAGAAAAGGGGTAAGGGAACACCCCATGCCTAACCCCCTAGAACAAAAACCTGAGAAGGAGAGCCATTGACAAGTGCTGAGATTGAATCCTATGCTCTCTTGCGCTTCTTGTACAGGAAATCGCATTGCTTATATTTTAACAAAATTTGCTTATAATCACATGAGAACTCACACTTGGCCTATTGCATCATCTTTTTCTTTTGCCTGCAGTACTATTGGAGGATTCTTTTTCTTTGGACCTTGGAAAAAAACTATTTTATACTGAGTTAGTGCCTCATTTAGATGATTGAGATTATTTTGGATACCATTTTTATACTTCAGATTTAACATTACATTCCACATTTTTCCTATTTCAACTCACAAATTCTTTAATGGACTCTGTTGAATAGCATTCTTTCAACAGACAAAAAAAGGCAACAAATTGTTTGAATACTTTATATTAATTAATGCATCCACTTGTTGAAAAAGCTTTATTTTGAATACATTTAATAATCCTTAGTCATTATGGGTGATCACATAGACTGAATAAATAAAACGACAAATGAAATACTATTTATTGGTGGGATGTTGGGAGCAACTCACGACTCACGAGATGGTTGGTACAGGAGAGTAGTTAGATGGTTAATAACGATATTGTAGTGACTAGTGAGATGGTTTCTAGTCAAACATTCATTAAACTAGTTCCAGTAACACTAATCGAGAAAACTAAACTCCATTAATTAGTTAAGCTTTTTAACCATATTTTATTAGGGACATCACGTGTGAGAGATTCAAGCCCGGCCCATAGCTTTGATAAATGGGCTGAATAATGAAACCAGATATACCAGCAACACATTGACCAATACATTGGGGATATTACAAGTCTTTTCAGTAGAAGGGATGCCCTTTTATCAAAATTAGGTCTTCATATCAAGTTATCAACACCCTTAATATATATATATATGGTTGAGCATTTGTTAAAATTTGAAGGTGCCAAAGTTCGATGCAGTATAAAATCTTGAGGTACTCGATTTGCACTCGCATGAGGGGAAAATTAATTGATTTTTCAATATAAACTATTTTCATGATGGATTAGAGTTATCCGATCAAGTTGTTAATTATATATTGAAAACATATATAATTATGCACTTTGTAAAAATTAGATTGAACACCATTACTATCAATTGGAGTTAGGGGTGTTCATCAAAAACTGAAAAATAAAAATAAAAAATTATGGTTAATTAAACCGGTTGGCATATATATAAAAAAATATATATATATATATATATTTTATTATTATTTATAATATAATATTATATATTTGTGTATTTATTTATAATGTATATTATAAATATAACCAAATAGGTAAAAAATTAAACCGATCAACTGGTTAATCAATTGGTTTTGGTTCACAGTTTTTTAGAAATTAATTATATCAATCCGGTTTAAAAAATAGGCGCATAGTTCAGTTAACTGTACTGTGAGCACCTCTAGTTGGAGCTGATTGGATGTGTCTGTTTAGTTTTTCTTCATTTATTTTTCCTTAAATTTTGGCATGGCCAAACTAGTTCCAATGAGGCACCGCTTGCAACCAATGATTAATATGTAGTTTAGGTTGTTTGTTGGCTGCATTTGGAAGCGGTGTAAAATCCAGTTTGATGTAATTTTATATTGTGGATGGAATGTACACTAGGACCCATTGTCTATGTAAATCACCATTTAAATTGAAATTTGATGTAATAGTGGCTCGAATTCTCCATCAGTCTAAAACTGGCAAGTTCCTGTTTTCGTTGTGGCTACAAACACTGCCCGACGACCCTCTCTTCTTCTCTCTTTCCACTCCCTCTTTCACCATCTCTTCTCCTTTGCCAAGTTCGGATGCATTTTTCCTACAACAGAGGAAGGTCCATTGGTCCAGGTATCTATCTTGTGACGAACAAGGTACTTTTACTATTCCGGCATTCCAATCTACACGTTTGCCACCGGTATAGATTTGCAAATTTTTCTGCTGTGGTGTTTTTATTATCTCTTGTATTTCTTAGAACTGGATGTTTTATTCAACTAGATCTCAATAAAAGTTGTTATTTTATTTTATTTTTTATTTGGGTTTGATGCATAAAAACACCCCTTCTCTCCCATTTCTAAAGGTGGCCAATTGCCCCTGTTTTTTGGGTACAACTAACAGCAAGAGGCCTTACATCAAGGGCGGTTGAACTGTTTAGATTTGGATCAATCCGATCAGACCAGACCGGACCGATTTAGCCCATGGTGGATTTACTTGGACCGGCTCATATCAAGTTTGTCTACGGGTTTGGGACCGAATCGACCAACCTGAAACGGGTCAATAGAGGTAATTCGGACTGGTCCAGATTCAGGTCGGGTTGCGCGAATATTGGTCGGACCAGACGATCCAAACTGGGGCAAAGCAAGTGGGTGCTAAACATCCCGACCGGTTATGTTCCGGATTCGGGCCGACCTGAATCGGCGGCATGTACTAGGTCGGGTCGGATAGGGCTGACCGACCTAAACGAACCGGACCGAGATGATCGGGTCTATTCATATTTAGACCAAGTTGAGCTGGTCCAGACTTGGGTCTAGTTGATTTGGATTTATGTTGAATTGGTGAAGTGTGTTGATTCGAAACAAAACTAAATTTAGTCAGTAATTAATAGATAATTAATGCATTAATTATAAATTATTTCGTTCAATTAAAGAAAATTAAAAAAAAAGCTAAAAAATTAATACTTATATATGTAATGGTTAACCCAATGGTTATCCACAACCCAACCCAACCCAACCCATTCACAACCCAATGGTGATCAACCCATTTACAACCCACCAAGTAAATGGGCAGGTTGGGTGGGTTCAGCTGTTTGGGTGAAAAATTGCCACCCCTAACTATGGCTGGGCCACAGGGGTGCAACTCAGACAATCAGACTGGGTTGGCTCAAGTTTGGGGTCAACTGGATCAACCCTAACCCGATTCAATCTTAATAATATCTACAAGACAAATACATGCACAAATACACTCTATGCTTATATCATTTTATTATATGACTAACAAACTAGTATGAGGAAACTCTTACAGAAAATTGCATCACATTAGTGTTACATTTGAAATCCATTTTTTAGATCATTATTTTTAAGAAAACGTTTTCTCGGAAAAAAGTATAGTATGAGAAAAAAATGCTTATGTGGCAGCAATCAGCAACGGTCCAATAAAAAATTAAAAAAAAAGAATGTTTTCTAATTAGAAAACGTCAAACAATGCAACACCATTTTTCTCAAAAAACACCTCACAGGAAACGATACTTTTTCTAGTTGGTTTAGGTTGGAGTTGGCTCGGCCTAAGATGCAAACCTGCAATATTAATTGAATCTAAGGCTTGTGTTTGGTTGCAATGCAAATAAATTTGCGAAATCATGACAGTGCAAATGATTTAAGTGCAAATTCTTACATATTTTTTGTTTCAAATTTTAGCTTATTTTCTTTGATTGCAGTACAAATAAAGTAAATTAGACATGAATTAGAATAAAGAAAAACCCAAAACAAAATTAAACGAGAAATTGCATTTCCGTGCATTTGTACTAGTGCAAATAAAATTGTACTGCAACCAAATGCAGCCTAAATTGCATTTATATATGCTAAAACTAATAAAAACAATAAACAGTTTAATTATTCTATTTTCAGTTCATATCAAGGCTACTGACCAGTGACTTGAAAAGAAATATCCTTCTTTTAATTCATCTTCTTCAAACATCGAATATATATAATCAAATTAAATCAGACCTTTCCGAAAACTAAAAGTCTGTGTCCAAAAGCGAAAAATTGCCATTAAAGAATTCAAAGCTAAGACAGAATGAAAACAACTCCTCTCGTACTTCCCCTTGAATGAAGATCACTGTACTCCTTCTGGAATCATAATTAACATTACATAACGTGACAATTATTCGAATTTTCATCGCTAAACATGTAAATTCCTCTCTCATAAACATGATATCCTGGGAGCTCGGGTTCATAGCCATCGTCGTGGATGTTTCCTGAGAAAAAAATCCCAGGTCTATCGAATGCAAATGGACGTGGGATGACATAACTGTAGCTCCTGCTGTTTTCATGGCTGCCACTGCCATAGTAACCGCCATTGTTGCTTCCATAGAAACCATCGCTCTCGTTATTATAGTTACTGTAACTGCTACTACTACCATAGAAACCATAGTTTCCATGAAAGCTTCCACCAGAATCTGCATAGTGCATACCAGGTAAAGTAGAAGGATCCTCTTCGTCCATTACCTCTTCAATTTCA